GATACTGAATAAGCGGTGACGGGGAATGAGTCAAATATTGGTAGGAGATAACGATACAGGGCGTTAATACAAACTAGTTGTATTCCGCTGTACCATCTCCGTCGCAATATTTTACCTCGATCGGGAGGGAAGTGGTGTTGTAGTCGGCGTTTTCAGGGTATACTTATACAACTTCCCGTGCTCCGTTGCTTGACAGATGTGCGGGTTACCATTTGGTCATTTTGTGATGTTGTGTATATTAATGTCCCCTTTTTCACACCGCTGCTGGTTACTACTAATGTCTTAATAGGTAATTTAACTATTCGTACTGAGTGGTAGCCAAATAAAGGTTGTTATTTGCTATAAAAGAAACCGATCTCATTAACTATTTGAAACAATCACTTCATCAGCGCGATCTACTGTGAGTGTTCGGGGTATTACGATGCGAACTACGAGTTAATAGTTCGTTAGGTAGCCGCGTGGTGGCGGTAGTAGTATGATGCAGTGCCATATAACTATTTCTCGTTACAATGTGCTCAAGACCTTACATTTCAGGCATGTGGAATTTCGCTTCGCACCGTAAGCCGCATTTGTTCCGAAGCGACAAAATCAGAAAACACGCAAGATGAACAACGTGTCGCGTGTCGTTCCATTTTTTAAATCTCCGCGTAAAACATACAAACGCGCGAAAATTCAAACTGAGTTGGATGATTTTGATGGAGATATAGTCAGAAGAATTATTCACGACTTTTATGATAGAGGTGAGTACCCGACTGCCTTGTCCATACTCAATACTTACCGAGAAAAGAATAATTACACCGTAAGCGTTAGGTCAATCGATGCGTTCTTAAAAATTTGAATTTTTCATTTAAGAAGTGTAATGACGGTCGCAAATTTTTAATGGAGCGTTTAGACATAGTTGCTCTACGGTGCACATTCCTCAGAAAAATGTGCACACTGCGTAAAAATAACGATAGTCACCCTGTTGTATATGTTGAYGAGACTTGGGTTAATCAAAATCACTCACGATCCATTATTTGGCAGAACAATGAAGGTACCGAAGGATTAAAGGTTCCAACTGGCAAGGGTGGTCGACTGATTGTATGTCACGCAGGATGCGCCCGCTACGGATTTATTAAGGATTCAAAATTAGTTTTTCGTAGTAACACTAGTAATACTACAGACTACCATAACCAAATGAATTATGAGGTGTACAAAGAATGGTTTCTTGAATTACTGAATCATCTTGAAGAGTCCTCTATTAATGTTATGGATAACGCATCATATCATTCGACCTTGGCTGAAAATTATCCTGAGAGTAATTCTAGAAAATCGGATGTAAAAAAATGGCTTAACGATAAAAATATTCCCTACAGTAATCTAGAAACATTGGCCGAACTTAAAATGAAGGTCAAAAATATAATGCGACGTGAAAAATCGTATCTTCTTGATGAGTTGGCACTAGAAAGAGGTCATGAGGTGATACAATCCATATCCCTGCCAGTATAACCCTATTGAGTTGATTTGGGCTCAATTTAAAAATGAAGTTGCCAAAAAAAATAATACGTTCAAGATGGTAGACATTGAACGTCTGACTCACGAAGCGTTAGATTCAGTGACTGTGCAAGACTGAGAGAAATGTGTACGACATGCAGAAACTATTCAATGGCAAGACTATGAAAAAGAAGTTCACAGGGATGTCATATTAGAACCGATTATATTGACCATATTACCAGGTGATTCAAGTGATGATGAAGACACAGATAATGATGAAGACATATTTGGTAACTAATTTTGACTTTAATTAGGTAAATTAAAATTGTATACCTATATGTTGTTTATAGTATTTTGTAAAAATAATAATTTATAAATATATAAAATGATAAGATGCTTTTAAATTAAATTTTTTACTTTAATAGTACGATTTTGTTGTTTTGGTTTTTATTATTATAAATAATATGAAAATATTTTTTTAAAAGCGCAGCAATTGGTTTTGGCCGTTTAAGAACCCATAAGACGATTTAACCGCTTGGATCGCGTCGGTCACACGCCACTTTTCGTGCCCCCGACTATAGCTATTTTTAGGCCGAGCGCCCACTAGAGTAACGTGACGTGTGGCGTGGCAAGGGAAGTAGTAAGTAGTATGCATCTAGCACGCTATTTTGTATCAAAACAATGTAATTAATAGATTTAACGCCAACTAAAGTGATACGACAGTGATATGACAAACTACATGTTACTTCGGTGTCATTCAAATGCAGCGTGTTCCATTTTTTGCCACGTGTTACGTGCTTTTACCGACTAGAGTGACAAGTGTTTTGGAAAATATTGTTATTTTAATTATTTTATTAATTTTATAACTTTTCTTATCTTAATTTTCCAAGTTAAAAATGAAAGACGATCCAGATTTTAACATACATTTTGTTGGTGTAATTGAAGAACATCCTTGTATTTATGACCATAGTATTTCTGACTACAGTAATAGAAATGTAATAGACAATGCTTGGGAAAAAATTGCCAAACGAGTATCAGAACCTGGCAAGTACTTGGCCAAAGGCATTTTTTTTGTATTTGTTTTATTAATACACACAGAGTGGTATTTTAATGTAATATTATTATTATTTATTATCTAAAACATATCATGCAAAATTTAAATTAGTCTGAATTATTTTCAATAATATTCTTAAAAATGTGTTTCAATGAGTATTTATAGTTTTCAAATTTCTATTCGTTTGATCAATATATATATATATATATATATATATTTATTTATTTATATATACAGATTTTACGAATAAAGTATTCCCACTGTGCAAAAAATTGTAATATTTATGTTTTATAAACGTTTGAAGTTTACTTAAAACTTTAAAAATTATCGTAAAAGTGATGTAAATTTAACATTAAATGAACTGCATATGTCCGCGAAAATTTACTTGGTAATTATGTTATATTTACATAAATATAACAAAATAGTAAACGTCAATTTTATGTAAAAATTATGTTTTATCGAAACATAAAAAAAAACATTAATAAAACTGGTAATTTGTGTTCCAAAAAAGTTTTAAAATACTTAAAAATAACATAAATATTATATATTTATTTAACATCAATAAGATATATCGGATGTATATYATATCATACATTATACCATTTATAAATGACTATAATATAGTCATAACAGATATAGATAATAAATCACACTAATTAATTATCTATATTATATCAGTGAACATCAATGAAATTCTTCAGTATGATATCATTTGTAAAATATACCTTTGATGTGTCTTGACTCTCGAATACTTACCTACTAATGTTATTCGTAAGTTCTATCAAATAAAATAGATAGGTACTTAAAACGCAGATTAACAAAAAACAGAAAACAAATTAGACTTACTAAACATTTATTTTGATATTAAAATCAATACATATACAGTACATTATATACAATAAAAATTGATAACAAAACATTTTTTGGTATAAGATATAGTAACTAGTTTAAGTTCCACAGTACTTAAAATATTTCATGACATAATGATATTATAATTGCCTTACTATTTGATAATTTAATAAAAAAACATTTACATTTTAGATCACTCTCGCATATTGAATACAAATTACATAAAACATTAGTATCAACTACAAAAATTCCAACTAAAAACGATGAAAAAGGTTTATTACAGAATTCTGAAACATTCATAAAATTTTTTACCATTAATTGTAATGGTTTGTGTTTAGGTTTTATAATATCTTGTATAGTAATTAATGAATCATCTTGGCACAAAAAATAATGGTCTTTTTCTTTCGTAACATCTATGGTGGTCTTAGTACATTGAAAAATACATTTTTGATAAAGTTTGTCTGAGATGGCTAAAAATGGAAGGCTTTGATGGTAAATTTCTTTATATAATATGAGAGAAGGTGAAATTAATTGCAAATTTTGATTGATTAACTGTTGTTTTTCATTTATTCGATTGTAAACTTCTTGCAGAGGGTATTTTATGCATTTAACAGATTTTTTTTATATATTGTAAGTTGTTTTCGTACCTAAATGAACTAAAGTTATCAAGTGGCCCATGCAATAATGTAAAGAAGGGTAAATGAATTAAACTATGGACATTATAACTTATATAATGATGGCCATATAATAAGCCATAACTTTTCACAAACTGTACTAATAATTCTGATGCTTTAGAATTATATTTATAACAAGTATTTGGTGAAACTAAAATTCTAGTTGCAAATACCAATAACAAAAAATGTTTGTAAAGTTCAGGATTTAATTTACCTTTTAAAACAATTGCTCCTGAATATAAAACAAAACTACGCAATTCAGTAGCCTTCCAGTACTCTATATCATCTATTGGCCGTGGTAATCGACAAAACTCTGATGGCACATATGGCCTTAACATTTTTAAATCATTATTTATTCCTTCTTTGCTTTCATCTGTTAATCTTATATCCCTTTTCCCTTTAATCCAAAATTCTATTAAACGTTTAGTGACCCCAAGACACACACAATGCATGTAGTCTAAGCAAACGATGTTAGTTATATTAATAGGTAATTTAAGCAAGGGGGAATCACCTTTATGATATTCTTCAWTTGATTGATTTCTAAAAGTTTCATTTGTTCTTAATGGAGCGTTTGTTCCAATTAAAGCAACTCGGCGTTCTATATAATCTCCTTCTTCAATGCAAGAAGTACACCMAAAATAAGCACTAAAGTCTGTCCAAAATTGACAAAAAATCATTTTGAATTAAATAATTTATCAAAAATAAAGGTCAAATATGCTGCACAGGTCTCATTTTATTTTTGTTGATCAGTACCTAATAACTAAGAATAGGTACTGTTAACAAATATTGAAGTATATTACATTTTTAGAARATCAACAGCTGTAGGTATAGATTTTTATAGAACCAAAAATGTTGGAGGTTTTAAAAACTCTGAAGAAACTGTTAATTTTACTCTGATTATAAATGATTTAGTCGATGCTTATATCGAAGGGACTGGAACCGTACCGAAATGGACCGGTTTTGGACCGGAACCCTTAAATATATTTTTTTAGTAACCAAAACCGAAACCGAAACCMMTATATTTTTATGGAGGTTTTTACGGTTCTTTTCGGTTCAAAAATCCAATAGATATTTTATAGTAGGTACAAACATAAATTTAATATACACCGTCTTATTGTTATTACTTCTTATACATCTGAGTAAGATATTCCCTCTATCCATTATTAAAATAAACTAATACTATTTTAACAAACAATTATTATAGTAACAACGAAATAATATGATATTAATATAATGTTATCGAAAATTTCACAGCTGCGTTATTGACGACGGCGCKTGGCGTCGTTAATAATAATTGATACCACTAAGGCCAAGCGCCCACKAGAGTAACGTTACGTGTGGCGTGGCAAGTGATATAGCAAACACGTAACAACAAAATGACGAATGGTGTGACACAACGCCTACCTATGTATCTAGAAACTAGTAACACCAGTTGTCAATATGTCTTCTTCTTCATCGGATGACGAAAGTTTTTTGGCTTTAGTAAATTTAATCAATGTTAATAACGCAAATAATAAAAAAAGACGGTATTGGGTTCATCCATATTGGAAAAAGAATCAAAAAATTAAACGTAGTGTTTTTGATGTATTCAAAGAAYTACATACCTATCCTGAGCGCTTCCAATCATTTTATAGAATGAATACAAATACATTTAGTTTATTACTTCAAAAAGTAGGTCCATCGATTAGGAAGCAAGATACTAATTTTAGAGACTCAGTTTCACCAGAAGAGCGCCTTTTAATCACTTTAAGGTAAGTTTTTAAATAAAATCGTAATAAATCAGGTTTCAAAATAAGAAATCATTAGATTCAAGAAAGATTTTATTTAATCCAAAATAAAAATTAAACACTTGAAAAACTCAACATTTAAAAAAAAAAAAAAAATACTTGTTCAAATAAAATAAAAAATTCTACCTTTCTAGCATAAAAACCTTTTTATACATTCTAATAAAAATAAATAAAATTAGATATAATAATATATACAATAAAATGAATGACGAAATCAAAACTAATCAGTAATTATACCTTTTATTTTGTGGGATATTTCAGAAACTCAGCTAAGACATTTTGAGTACAGTCTGTCAATGCGTAGGTTATTGATGTTTGGTCGTTTAACGATGGTTCAAAACGTGTGCTTCGTTGATCAATATACATAGTTGAAGATGCCGAAGATGTAGGGTTGTTAAAAGGCTCTAAAGTAGGTTTGTATGTATTTTCATTTAAAATGTTCCCAGCCAAATTAAGAATTCCAATTTTAAATCGCCTTTTCTGATCTGCGTTCATTTCTTTGAAATCGGGCAGAACACTCATTAGAAAAGACACTTCCGGATCTTGAGGCTTGTTCTCATGTACTATTTTACTGGTATTCTTTTTGGATTGAAAATATTCATAAGCCGAATTGTTCCCATCAGATATTGAGATAGATTGTTTGGACGTTTT